CAACATTATACTTATCTATATCGACTATTTACAAATATCCTTTACTGCAGTGGAAATTCAAATATATGCAATGTTTGCCGTTCTAATATTTTGCGACACATTAAAGGCAGTTAACTTTACTTTCCGTCTTTCGATCTGGACCTGTGTTTACAGCCCAAAGCCATACGCTACCTTTAACGTTTCGCGCAGGAAAGGTGGCAACATTGCATGTGTTATAAATTCCAGAGCAAATCATATAAGATTCGAATATGTTAGTATGTAGGGTTTACAATAAACAGAGTCAAAGCGCCTTGATGAATGCAAGTAGGGTAATATGGCGAATGCTGCCGGACAGTGCCGTACTGAAACGTTCCATGACTGTAATTGATGCTCATCGGACCATATAACGCTCTGTATCTTTTGGTTAATTATTAGGAAATAATCTCTACTTCACCCTGATTATTGATGATCTAATGATTTACAGATATATATACATATATACGAAAGACTTTTTACATTACACATTAACTGTAATGACAATTCAATTGGCTCTGATCGAACTGTCAGAACAGTTGGAATGCATCGTTTGTGAATACTAACAGTTATAATATTTACACTTATTATATAATAATTTTCACACAGACTTATGGATGATATAGGCTTTAAATATATTTTTAAAATAATAGTATAGGAAAACCAAAAAGTCTCAGATAAGGAAAAGAAAACTACAGTTAAACAAAGTTAATATCATATTGTAAACCATTTTCTTTATCAAATGAGTTACTAAAAAAGATAAAATTTAATGGGATCTTATACAGGTTCTAAAAAGTGTAAAGTAAATAAAAAAAAGCGGAGTAAAAATCGGAATATGACCTTATAAAATATATTAATAAATATACAAAAACTCAATTCGTTGTCAAAAATTAAAGATAACGAAATGAAGACGTTTTTAAAACTAAGTTTTTATGAACTGTGAGCGATTCAATGCAGTAGACTAAATAACTCCATACCGTAGGCAAGGAAGAAAAAGCTTCCCGCTACTGTTCTGTTTCTATGCCTTGTCCACACAGATTACCCCGACATCTGTGTTTGTCCATGTTCATTGTTCATCTTCGCAAAATCTAACCATCTCCCGCAGTAATGGCTATGTACACATGAAGTGTTTGATAAAGGATATTTAATGTTTACGAATGACAATTTTTTAATTTTTTTGTTTTTTTTTTGTGAATCGTGGACTAGAATGATGGTGAACTATAATATTTATAAATGATCATTTACAATTTTAATGTAGCGTCCTAAATAGAGTATGAATATTTTACACAATATAACCACACTATGAAAACACACTAAGAAAACTTTCCACTTATAATTAAATTATGTATTAATTTTAAAATTGTTAACATTTAGACTACGTAAACAATCTTACACGCTATGTATAAAATCCTTATCGATAATTGTATAAAAATATATAAATTTTTTTACAGTTATTTTTTATTTACAATATTTTAAACATCTTAACACTAGTAATTTATAAATATTTTTGTGCGCTTTAATAATTTAATTAAACTAGTTTCGGAATGATATACTAAATGACTAGATGATGGCTGATAATGATGGTGATGTTTTGAATGCTTTTTTGAAGACTGTTTCTATGGCTTTACTATACAAAGTAGTAAAGGTATAAAAAAGTAGTAACTGAGTGACAAGCGCGCGCACGTGCATTAGGGCGTGCATAACCAACGCAAGTTCTACTGCAATTTTCGGAGTTGCGTTTTTTTTTTCATAGAAGAGGAGACAAACGAGCATGTGGCACACCTGATGGTAAGTGACTACCGCCGTACATGAACAACCGTAACGCCCGGGGAATTGCAAATGCGTTGCCAGCCTTTTAGAAAGAAGTAAGTTCTTTTCTTGAAGGTACCTAAGTCGTATCTGTCCGTAAAAGTCGCCGGTGGTAAACAATTCCACAGAGAACTTGTGCAAGGAAGAAAAATCCCAGCAATACGCATAGTAGTAGACCGCCAAGCATCCAGATGGTGAGGATGGTATCGGGAATTTTGACGCGATGTGCGTTCGTGAAATTTGGCGGCTGGAACTAATCCGAACAATTTCTCGGAACACTCCCCATGGTAGATACGATAGAAAACGCAAAAGGATGCAACATCCCTACGCAGCGCCAGTGAATCGATCCGATCAGAAAGACTCGGTCGTCAACGATTCGAATCGCTCTGCGCTGAATGCGGTCAAGTGGAAGGAGCTGGCACTGTGGTACCCCGGCCCAGAGATGAGAACAGTATTCCATGCGAGGCCGAACTTGCGCTTTGTAAAGTTGCAAGCAATGTGCCAGCATGAAATACTGTCTAGCTCTGCTGAACACGCCAAGCTTTTTAGAGGCCAATTTGGCCTTCCCTCCAAGTGACCACGAAACTGCACACTATTTGATAATATGTTGATGCCGAGGATTCTGATGCTAGCCGAGGCAGCAAGGGGAGTGCCTTCAAACTGAGGAGATACTAAAAAGGGGTTCGTTTAGCGGTTAACGCGCAAACTTGTGTCTTCTGAGGATTTAATTAATCTGAGACTTTGTTAAGCAAAGACTCGACTTCAGACACAGGTATGTCTCGGTACTCGGCAACGATTTCCCTAGAAATATTGGCACGACAGGTGTATAAGGTATCACCAGTGCTGTCGTCTGCATAGCAATGAATGTTACAAGTTTGCAACATATCATTGATATGCAGAAGAAACAGCGTTGGTGATAGCCCGCAGCCTTGTGGAACACCAGCGTTAATAGGCTTGTTATCAGAGCATGCACCGTCTACTACGACCTTGATGCTCCGATTAGCAAGAAAACTAGTGATCCAATCGCACAATTTCTCGGGAAGCCCATAGGAAGGGAGCTTAGAAAGAAGCGCTTTGTGCCAGACCCGATCGAAGGTCTTGGCTATATCCAAACTAACGGCCAATGCCTCCCCCTAGGAATCTACTGCCTCCGCCCATCTATAAGTAAGATAGACTAGAAGATCATCAGCTGATCGACCACGACGGAAACCGTGTTGGCGGTCACTAATCAGCTAGTGATCCTTAAGGTACCTCATATGCTGACAGTTTACAATAGACTCCATTATTTTGGAGAACAAGGAGGTGATAGAGATAAGCCTATAGTTGGACCAAAGCTGTCTTCCGGGAATTCAGGACTACGCCTTCGAAGTAGGAATACTGGAATAGACACGTTAAAACCGGTGCCAACTCCGGAGCACACGTCTTCAGAATAATGGGAGTTTAGGGAGAAGAGTGCTTTACAAACCGAGCATTGTGTAAATCGTACATCCAGCATGGAGTATTCACACCGTAAGATGTTCGGCGGTGTGTTCCTCCCATCATCGAGAGTCGAGTTGGATGCAAAGAGAGAACGTAACAGACAGGGGGGGGGGGGGAATTGGGCCTCCGGCCACCTGCACTCACCAACCGAGACGCAGAGGTAACTCTCTACTTCACGCTGGTATTCTGTGAGGTCGTGGTACCACCCCGGTTTGAGCCGGGCCATCCGTGCGCCAGCAGAAGCTGCCGCGTGGCTCTACCACTGTTGTTAAAGCGTTTACCGCATACTCACTATGCAGCCTTGACGAAGAACTTCAAAAGCGTTACATGTTTGACATGCGTGCCTAACGCTCCTTCGCACGCTCAACACTCAGTTTCTGCACTTAAACTACGTTTATCACATATCACGTTCTATTTCAAAAATATTAAAATAAATATATCAACGATTGAAAACCCAATAAGCTAATAATATAAAAAAATAAAATTATTTCACGGCAAAATATTTATTTAATATTCAACCACAAGTGCGTCGTAAAATATAAGATAAAAGTTTAATTTTATAGCAAATAAATGTTAAAATCCTTATTTTTAGACTAAATTTTAGTGTAATAGATCAAAGGAATGTTTTTTTGCGAGTAAAATTGTTTTGTAACAGCGGCATCTACTGCAATAAGTAAAGTCATTTTATCGAACAAAAGTGTTTGAATCTCAAGGTGGTACGTCAAATAAACGCTAGATGGCCTGAAGTTATAAAATCGTTAATTGTTATTAATGAGAGAGAGAGAGAGAGAGAGAGAGAGAGAGAGAGAGAGAGAGAGAGAAAATACCGAATACTGTATCAAAAAAAAAAACGACAAAAAATGATAGTAGACGAATGGTGAATTCGAACCTTTTGTGTTCGCGGCCTGCTCGGTATTCTAACTCATTCTCTCAAATGCTACATCCTATAGATATATATGTCTGTCTTTAGAAAAATGAAAAAGAGGCGAGTGGAATGACATGGAGAGAAAACACTTTTAAAAAACTAATGTTGAAATTATTTGTTATTCGCTAAATCCTTGGTTGGAGGGGGACCGGATGAATCATGGAAGTGACTGCGGACCTGTGAAATGAGACAGAAAATCCATATTTATATCTGTTTTACACCAAAAAGAAAATTATATACTTGATTAAGAATCAAAATACAGATGTGTTGTCACCCCTGAGAACTAACATGGAATGCCTCGTTATCTGTAAAAAGGGTCTTTAGTTTTCGTTACCCACCTTACGGATTATGCTTCTATTTGATCCTTCCCTGGTTATTGCTTGAACGTTTAGTGTCGTATTATGTGGTCCTAGGTCGGGCCAAAAATTAGTTATGCGATTTTTCTGTTAAGAAATTTGCAGCCCGGAGTAAAGAAGTTGGCGGTGTTTTACTCCCGTGCACCGTGATTTGGCATTCCTTGGGCGAGGTTCATGTTCAGCAGAGGACTTATGAAGGGCTGTTATAATAAATTTAAAGTTTATAATAACAACCTACAAATTTTAGTTTGTTTCAGAACTGATCTCATCTGTGGTTTCCTTTGATTGAAATTAATTGTTCAGGAGCTGCTGTAGCGACTTATCTTCAGGTGGTTTGTATGCACTCCTGTTGCTCCTGATTTGAAAAAAAAAGGAGTTCGTCTTTAAATTAGCTAGAAATAGAATTGCTAAAAACTTACCTGAAACTGTGCAGCTAGATCCATAACAATATGAACGAGCGTTGGATGTTCAAGCAAGTCATCTGGTAGCGGGGGCGATGAACGTGGAAGGTGAGTTCTGGCTCGGAACCCACGGTGCATTCGCAGCGTCACCTCACAGAATATATATCGAAGCAACAGGAGCCGCAAGAAATCGTCAGCCATAAAGGCAATGAATCCTGGATCTGTAAAGTTACATAAAACAAGGTTAAAATATTCAAAAACATCGTCGACACGGAGATCGTATTGATCAATTAAACTATAAGTTACGTAGGTATATTACGTTAGTGTGACGGTGCAAGGCTTGCAAAGGTGTATGCCTCGAAGAGATTTTTTTGTACCTTAAGCGGGGAACCAGACCAGAGTTACCCAAACTTTTTTGTGTCGTAGACCCCTTGCCATGTTTTTCCGTGTTGGGTAGACCCCCTACTTACCTGATATTGATTTCCTGTAAATTTCTAACTGTAGTGAAGTTTAGTGTTAAAAACTTAAAGTAAAACACATGTTAATTTATACATTTATTAATTTGATTTAAATTAAAACTACTCAAAATAAAATTTTGTATCTGTTATGTAAAATATACGTAGCATTAAATAAACATAAAATAAACTATAAATAAAATAACATAAGCAATAAGTCAATATTTTTAGTGAGAAGAAGGAACCTGATGCTTTAATAATAAATTATCAACATTTGGCGTCAATTTTGTAAGGGTTAATCTTAAATCTCCTCGGCTAATGATGTCCAGTCTGTTTCTTTTTTCGTTAGGAGATTGGTAACAGCGCTGAACCCCCTTTCCACTAGGTATGACGATAGAAAGGAAATTAAAAATTTCCTCGCTATATTCCATAATACGGGATAAGTAACGGGTATGTTGTTTTGCAGCCAGAATTGCTGATATTCGTTTTTAAACTGAACCTTATGTTCTTCGTTTGTACTTAGTTCGGTCAGTTCCTCTTGTATTATGACATTCGTTTCTTCTATGTCACCATATGGATTAATTATCCACGGTGGTATTACCATAGTCAAAATATCCTCAAACCTAGATTCAAAATCTGAATAGAGGGCATTTAAATGTTGAACGTAAGTTGAAACGTCGTCTTCCTGGCAGCTTGTCTGTGACGAATTGGGGAACTGTCCAATATTTTGCTTCATTAGTTTAACTCTGGCAAGAAACGCTGATAAGATGGACTTTGTTTTAATCAAATTTAAACTGTCGCCTTGTAATTGCAAATTAACCATATTAAATTTTGTAAATAAATCTGTTAAATAGGTGATGTCTGTTTTCCTCTTCATTAAATTTTCTTTTAAAATTTTATCTATAGTATCCAGAAATTCTAAAATAGTCTCAAAAAGTGCAAAAAATCTTGTCAAACATAAGCCTTTCGACAGCCAGCGTACTTCAGTGTGAAGGAGTAATTGATGAAAGTGTTCGTCATTTTCTTCACACAACTGCACAAATAACCGCGTATTCAACGCGTTGCTTCGGATTCGGTGTACTGCATCAATGACTAAATGAAGTGATTCATGCAATCTAACACTCAAATTTTTAGCAACTAAATATTGTCGATGGATGACGCAATGTATTGCTAACACCCCTGACACATTTTGTTTTAAATAGCTTATAAATCCACGATAACGTACGACCATGGCAGGTGCTCCATCTGTAGCTACTGATATTATATTTGGTAAAGGAATTGCTTTTTCAATGAAGTAATCCTTCAAAAATGAAATATTGATTCACCTTTAGTGTCGGTTATCAAAGTTCTTGCGAAGAGCAGTTTTTCGTAGATTTCTTGATTCATAATAAAACGAACATATGCCAATAATAATACTGCATTATCAGGTAAAGTTGACTCGTCCAGTTGTATAGAGAAATGGGTCGTTTGCAAATAATTACATAAGAAGCTTTCAATATCAGAACTCATTTCATCAATACGTCTTTCAACAGTATTGTTGCTTAAGGGAATTATTTTAATGATATCAGATGCAGGTTTGTGTAAAACAGTTTTTAAAACCTCTTCAACGGCTGGCAAAATTAACTTCTCTCCGATAGTATGCGGTTTTCCGGATTTTGCTATAAGTAACGAGATATTGTAAGATGCCTGCAAACCATCATCATTTCTTTGTGACGTCGAAGCGAATATTCTGTCCAGTGTAGACCTCTTGCAGGTTGTCATAGACCCCTAGGGGTCGATATAGACCACTTTGGGAATCACTGAACTAAACGTTCTCGCCCGCGGGCATGTCTGCAGACATGCCTGCCGGACTTCGATACTGTAGGTATGTGCAAAGTTTGATAGTGTAGGACCGTCACAGTCAGTCCGGCAGATTTGCCTGTTGCACGTTCGCGGGATCTCATTTTGTCTGCGCGGCTCGACATGCCCGAATGTGAATGTTAACTGCGGGCTGTCTTTTAACAGACACGAGAGCGACAGCAACCAGTGCAGACGGCCTTGTAATTTAATGTTTAATTATTTAACGAATTTTAAAGGTTTTTAATTTGCAATGAGTTTTAATGATAATAAAATATTCTGGGAATAGTTTATGCGAGAGTAATAACATAAGGGAGTTTATTACTATATATCCATGTGCAAGTAATTGTACAGGTCTCCTGGTTCATTATTTTATAATTATTTATGTAAATTGATATGGTTAAACTTATTTCCATTTTATACCATTATTTGCACCAAATTAATAATAAATAAATAATAAGCATTGCGAGTCTAGGTTTACATCTTAATGTGCACGCACAACTAATCACGTAATCGGTTTAAAACAAACTGACGAGTCTGTGTAGTGTATTGGGGCGACAGACATGCCCGGACCAACAGCCCGTGGGCATGTCCGTCTAGTGAATTCCCCGCTTTACTTATACAAATCGACGTCAACTTAAGAAACGCTTAGAGTTGTTCTCCTTCTCTTCGCTTAATATTAATAGAAAGACACAGGCTTATAGATGGTAGAACCAGCTAAGACGAAAGGTAGAATCCATTCAGTGCTCGTGTATTTGATTGCGTTTGTTTTGCAGTTTGTTATAAATGAATGTTCCCATGAAGCAGAAAACTTTATGAAAGAGCCGATTGAAAGATTGAGTTTTGAATATATTTTTTTTATAGGATAGGGTAACAAATGAGCACACAGTCCACCTGATGGTAAGTGGCTGCTGTGGCCCATACACATCTACATCTATCCTCGATTACGAATCAAAATGCAGATGCGTTGTCACCCGTGAGGACTACGATGGAATGCCTCGTTTCCAGTAAAACGGGTGTCCGGTTCTCTACACTCATTATACGAAACACAGCAGCATTAAGCTACTATTTTACGCTGGTATTCTGTGAGAGCGTGGTCTCTCCCCGGTCGAGCCGACCCATTCGTGCTACAACTATACTACTAATAATAGGTCCTTACATATGAAATTGGCGTTTTGTACGGGAGGAGTATAAAGTTATTTTTTTTTATAAAATATATTTAACTAATCAAAGGATGCACCGTTGTTATCTATGCACTTTTGCCATCTCATAGGTAGTTCATTGATCCCTTTACTAAAAAAACCATGGGGGGCGAGAATCAATAAACTCTTTGAAGACGGTTTGGACTGCCGCATCGGAGTTGAATTTTTTCCCTTGTAAGAAATTTTCCAAATTCCGGAAAAGTGGTAATCTGTTGGAGCAAGGTCCGGGGAGTACGGTGGATATCCCAGAAATTCCAGTTGTATCTCATCTAACTTAGTGGTTGTTTATTGTGCAGTGTGTGGTCTTGCGTTGTCGTGAAGCAGCAGTGGCCTAGAGCGATTGACCAATCTCGGTTGTTTAGCAGCTAGTTCTTTCTTCATGATTTGCAGTTCCTGACAATAGATATCTGCCGTAATCGTTTGGACAGATTTAAGAAAGCTGTAGTAAACGACACCGGCGCTAGTCCACCAAACACTCACAAGTAAATTTTTCTGAGTAAATTTTCGTTTAGGGCAAGATTTGGCTAGGTCTCCAGGGTTCCGAAATTTTGCACCCAGCTACGCTTTGAAGATAGTGCATTCCATCGCGTCTACCAAAGCTTTAGTAACAGGATTCTCGGTAGACTGTCTTTTTTTGTTCTTTTATAAACCTAACTATTTGAGAAAAAAATTCAACCTTGTACAAATAAGTCCAAAAAGCAAAATGGTAGACCTTAGATGGCAACGCTTCCGAGGCTGTAGACTTTCACTATCTTGTATATTTTTTTTTTATAGGATAGGGTGACAAACGAGCACACAGTCCACCTGATGGCAAGTGGTTGCTGTGGCCCATAGACATCCACATCCATCCTCGACTACAAATCAAAATGCAGATGCGCTGTCACCCGTGAGGACTAAGATGGAATGCCTCGTTTCCAGCAAAAAGGGTCTCCGGTTCTCTACACTCACCATACAAAATACAGCAGCATTAAGCTACTATTTCACGCTGGTATTCTGTGAGAGCGTGGTCCTTCCCCGGTCGAGCCGAACCATTCGTGCTACAACTATACTAGTAATAGTATGTAGGTATCCTTGGTCACTGTAAGAAGTTTCAGTCTTGTAGGTATAATACATTTACGTATTATTCATTTACAGGTTTCAAAAATTGTTATTAATGTTTGCAACAACATCGGCGCGGTAGATGTTATATGTTATAACTGCGATTCTGTTTACGTACGATCTCAAAATAAAAAAATAATAAAGAATCAGCTTTGTAGGAATAATCGCACAAATAATGTCGCTGCCTCCCGGACTGAGGAAATATTCAGATTAGTTCCAGCCGCCAAATGACGTCGAAATTCTCGATACCATCCTCACCATCTGGGTTCTTGGCGGTTCACTAGTGTCCGTTTTACTTTCTTCCGTTTTTTCCGATTTTTTTTCCTCATACAACCTCTCTGTGGAATTGTTAAATACCGGAGGCTTTTCGGGACCGATACGACTTAGGGACCTTCAAGAAAAGAGTTTACTCCTTTCTAAAAAGCTAGCATCTGCAATTTCCCCGGTGTTGATGTTGTTAATTGGCGGCGGTGGTCACTTACCATCAGGTGAACCACATGGTCGTTTGCCCTCTCTTTTATTAAAAAAAAAAAACAATTGCATGTTAGGGTCTCCAACTTTTATGAGGAAAGTTTTGGCACCTCTTCGTCATGACTTAATTCAATATTTAATTAGGGATTGACATAAAGAGAACTACACTAACATTATACCACGGCAATCGGTTTTGTGTTTTTAGGTACTGAAATTACTTATTGATAATAAGCTTTCGCAGACGGGTTACTAAAACCTCAAAGTAGGGTTTAAATGTTAGGGACAGATTAATAAAAATGCCAAGATATTTGATTTTATGAGTTTTTTAAGTGAAGGAATGAGGTTAGCGATATGACCATTATTTACTAAAAGCAGTATCGGGCTGTGAATGCTGCCTTGAGGCACACTCTGATCGGTGAAGTTGTCTTTCATTAATTTTAGTGTAATACCCCTTTACTTCCACCCTTTGTAGCTTTATTAAAATGTGACGGATAGAGACTGTTAGACATTTATTTTTTTTTTTTAGCTTGACCGAGAAGGACCACTCTCTCACAGAATAGTCGCGTAAAATAGCAGCTTGACGCTGCTGTTTGTATGGTCAATGTAGAGAACCGGAGAATCATTTCTGTTGTTTGTGTGGTCAGTGTAGAGAACCGGAGAATCATTTTACTGGTAATGAGGCATTTCATCTTAGTACTGGTTGAGAGCGCATCTACATTGTGATTCTTAAGTGAGATAGACGTGTACGGGCCGCAGCATCCGCTTATCACCAGGTGGACTTATTCTCTAAAACAACAACAGTTACAGAGAAAATTTACGTTAATAAACTTACTTACTTACTTACTTACTTATCTTCACGCACAATCCCTAACGGGGTAGCCAGAGAGAACAGATCGCCAAGTGTCACGATCCTTACATACATCTTTCGCTTCTTTCAGGTTCATTAACTTCTTCATACATGCACGTCTAGGTATCCGAGTACTTTTGACCCTCCCCTCTTCGAGCAATTTGCTCACATGGTCTTCGAAAGTTAGTCTCAGTCTACCTCGACACCTTTTAATATTTACTTTCGCTCTATATATTTTCTTCACCATTCGGTCTTCACTCATTCGTTCAACGTGCCCAAACCATTGGAGTACGCCCCTATCAATTTTTGTGATAAGGTCATCTTTCAATCCTGCCATATTGCGAATCTCTTCGTTACATTAATAAACGATAGTAAGTAATATCTAAAATTGTAAAATATATCCACTACCCCACATCGTCATGTGAGTGTCGTAAGAGGTGACTAAGGAAAACTGTATTCCTGATTACAATCCAAATTTATAAAAAGCTGCGGCTGCCAACCCGTCTAGCAAGCGCCAGTACTGTGACGAAATCCTACCAACGAGATACTCTTTCAGGAGGGCCTACGTTCTGCAGTGGATTTCAACAAGCTGTAAAGCATAAGATGTTAAAAATATATCTAACGCACTTGAGCAATTTTAGAATTTTTTTAATCAAAATTTCCATCTCGGCGCAGAAATAATAATAGAAGAGTTAAAAGGCAAACACAAAAATATTTTTTTTTAGTTTTCACCTTAAAAATATACGCAACGCACTTGAAGTTAGTGCGAATCCGTAGTCACCTTGACTGTCCTATTGTACATGTACTTTATAGTAAAGAAATGAACTCACCAATCTTGTGTCTAAGCATGATGTGAGATGTTTCTATATGGAAGGTTTCTATGTAACTCTGCGCGTGTTCCCATTGAATGAGCGATATGTTCTTAATATCGCAGCTGTAGCAGAAGGCGGAGAGTGGAGAATGAAGAAACAGTGTAAATAAGCTCCCCTCCTTCCTGTGGTCGCCTGTTATTTGAGACAAAGGTAGCATAGATATAAATTTGTGAAATATTTCAAACAAATAAAAAAAGTCAGTAGAATCAAGGAGGGACCACAGCTTCCGTCCGGAACTATCATATATTTTTAGACAGGTATTCCGCCTGCAGAGTGGACAAAAAGAACAATGTAATGTCTATTAAGTGGTAGAGCCATGCTGCAGCTATATAAGTAGTATAGTTGTAGCACGAATGGGTCGGCTCGACCGGGGAAGGACCACGCTCTCACAGAATACCAGCGTAAAATAGCAGCTAAATGCTGCTGTGTTTCGTATGGTGAGTGCAGAGAACCGGAGACCCTTTTTACTGGAAAAGAGGCATTCCATCTTAGTCCTCACGGGTGACAACGCATCTGCATTTTGATTCAAAATTGAGGATAAATGTAAATGTCTATGGGCCACAGCAACCGCCTACCATCAGATGGACAGTGTGCTCGCTTGTCATCCTTAAGCTATAAAAAAGTGATATAATCGAAAACAAGCAGAACACAGTAGTGTGTGCACAAGTGAAATAGTACCCTATTAAAATGTAGGAAATCATAATAAAAATAAATTTATACTTACTTGGGAATGTAGTCGGTACGTCCAGTGGCGACATCAGCACTATTAATGGCTGTCCGAAACGTCGAGGAATGTTTTGAAAAATGTACGAGTTGTCAGAATCAATTATGATAAAGAGCGGACAGCGGGTGAAAGGATATAGGTCACCTGGATGGATGCACTCTTGCTCTTTAAACTTTGATGTACCAGATTTTGAATCCCGGGAGTGGTCTCTGTCTTTTCCTCTATCTGTGTCTCTTTCCTTTTCCCTATCCCTATCCCTTTCCCTATCCCTTTCCCTTCCCTTTCCCCTTCCCCTTTCCCTTTGCCTTTCCCTTTCTCTATCCCTATCCCTATCCCTATCCCTATCCCTTTCCCTTTCCCTTTCCCTCTCCCATTCTCTCTCCCTCTCTCTATCCCTGTCTCTATATATTTCGGTCTTCACGTTGGTTTTAAGGCCGCCGATGTCGTAACCAACTGCAAAAATGGTATCAATTGAAAACTTGCTTGCCTATTTTTATCACATGTACAATGTGTTAGTTCGGTTATGATGATATCGTAAGTATACTTGGTACAGTTATTTTCTATATCATTCTATTGTTGCCGGAAAACAGCATTTCTATCTACTGTAATTTTTTTTAAGTTTTCAAGGGAGTCCACACAATTGCGGCCATTGAAGTTAACTGGAGATATCTATTGGCAATAGCTGACCATGAGGTGAATAGTTAACTCTTTTGTCGCTCTAAAACTTTAAAAAAATCCACTTACATTAGAAATATTAAGCAGAAAGTGAAGGAAGGATTTAATCATTTACATAAAACTTGATCTAGGAAATATCGTAGATGACTACAATGTCAACAAACAATAAATATTATAATAAATATTCAAATAAATATATATTTGGATACGAATTATATACATTATATTTACATTTGTGGACATTTTTTGTAGAAAATATTCAACTAGCAACTGCAGTGTACAGAATACAATATGTTACAAATATTCGCGATGCAATCAAGCTAGAAAGTAAAATTATTATAGCAATATAAAAACACCAGCTCAATATTCAAAATGGTCGCTCAAAAGCAATCATTTCACCGAAGTCATATAAAACGAATCGAGCAACTCTCCCGGATTTTTATTTTATTTCTCTTTACATTTTTGGATTAGCTCGAGTAATACTTAGTAGAATATTGCATCCGATATATTGCAAAGTTTTTAACAGTCGTTATTAGTTTTATTAGCACCCCGTTGGAATGAGTTTTTTTTTATAAATGTCATATGGTAGTTGTATTGTGTTTGTATGTTTTCATACTTCCAACGTTTATAGTGCGTTATTAATTACAGGTGCATATCCTCTAAGGAGTTAGACGGATATCAAAGTTAACTAAGTGTAAGTATATCTATTACCCCATATAGCCCTGTGGTGTAAGAATCTACAGAGGCAAACTGAAACAGGTGATGGATAGTATCATCATTCTACATCTACCTGAAACTTTTTCAGGTTTCAGGGACGCCTTTGACTTTTGATTCTAATTGGTAATTGTTGTAAGTACTCATTTACCATTGTACATATTTAAAACATGAGGCGACCCTTTTTACTGGAGCTCGCACCTATGGGAGTTAAAATATTATTATGTTAATTCTGCTCAAGAGCAATTTGGCGGATTTTTTCGCAAATACTCAAACTCATATATAGGGCACTCTAACTGCTCAATTTTAGGATGCTGTTGTGCTGTTCCTCACTCACACACAACACAAACACTCTGTTGTCTACACTCTCACAGTCTCACCAGTTATGTGAGTGAGGGTAGGTGATGAAACATCTAACAACGCCAGCACATGGTATATATATTATATATTTTTTATATACAAATTAAAAAAAAAAGTGATAGCTTATTTAGGCATTACTTATTCTATACTACGCTTCGGTTAAATTCGAATCCTTTGATTTAAAGATCTTAGCCCAAGATAATAATTTACATTGTGATTTATTTTGATGGTAATATGAAATAAGAAAACGCCAGCTAGTAAACCATCGAAACACAAATACAAAATTGAAGATTAGATAACTATCAATTTTATAAAGTTATTGAAATTCAAATAAAAATTTTCTTTCGTTAAAAGAATTTCAAAACAAAAATACTAAGAAAGTCCAAAAGTGCTTTGTATTTCAACAGACTTTTATAATGATACGTGTTGCTGGATTTAAAAAAAGCATCAGGCTTATTTAATAGTGTTTCCTCTTTCTCATCATCTGTTTTCCGTAACATATTAGTGCGATGTAAAATAATAAGGGCCTATACTATCTCAGCTCAAATTCTAATTTCGTCCCACTTCCCCGCGCGTCGTATGTTATGTACCGACATGTTTGTAATCACTAATACTCTAAGTAGAAAGGTCGTTAGACACTTATTTCATTAGGTTTATCATATTTATGCCTGTTTATTTACGCCAACCCAGTCGCTTCTTATTTTTATTACGGTTATTTCCCATTTTAATTTTACGTCGTTCTTTTGCGTAATGTGTATTCTGATCGTAATCTTTCCCGTTTGAAAGATTTAAAGTATTTTGTTAATACCAGCGGTTTATTGTTCAGTTTCCAAACTGAACTTTAACTTTAACCAAACGGTAACTTTGGTTTTTTTTCTATCGATAAAATTTTAATCCTCAACTTTACCATATATTTATTTCAAAACTAATGCTGCAATATAATAATACCGAAAAGGTATAACGGAGGATCTTGCTAAACGATTTGAGGTAATATAGGCGAGTGATTTAAAAAATTTGACAGTAGAGCCCAAACTCTCCGCTTCGCATTCCAGGTGAGCAATTAAAAATATAATTAATGATTCACGATATTTGTGTTACTTATAAGTTATACAAATGACCGATGAAAACCGAAATATTTCAAATTATTAAGTAAAACCGCCTTAAGTAAACCTATGAATTCTAGATAATATTACTAATAATTCATTCAATGTGTTTCGAAAAGTTACACAATTCATAATTCTGTAATTAAAGGAAATCTTTACCATCTTCTGGGTATTTTGAAGACTGAACTATCAGAGCATCAGCAGATATGTAGAGGAGTAGAGCTCCATTGGGTGGCAGGTCGTAACAGCCACTAGCAAGGTATACCAGGATCTGCGCTGCCGATGGCTTAAATAGCAGGGATTTGCAGGGATTCACGCGATGCGGCAGATCCGAGTTATGTCCTGCAATGAGAACGTTCTGAGAATGTTTCCATTAATGACTAAAGATATTCGCAATCTTCATAATAATTGCAGCCGTACATAACATAAACCTCCCCCAAGTAATATCACAAAGCACGGTTCTAAGCCACCTGCATCCATCGACTTCAGGAATATCTCACCAGGTCGTTACTCCATCGGGAGGGTGACCGCCCTACACTTTGTCTACCGGAACTAGGTTCCCACTCGAGAAACTTTCTTCCCCATCAGTTGTTGGTTCATCGGGCTATATGACCGGTCCATTGCCACTTCAGCTTACTACTTCGTTGGGCTATGTCGGTTACTCTGGTTAAGCTGCGGATATCCTCTTTCGCAATGCATTAATACAAAAACAAATTTAAATAGTTAAAAGGTCGCTGCATTTGGTTATATGAAATTGCCATCGTAAGATTGATGTTTGAAAGGAAATTAAAATTCGCGTAAGCAGCCGAGCATTTATAGGGAATTTGCTTCACTTAGTTTTCTTGTAATCCAATCAACCATATAGCGCCCTATTTGCACTGCAGTTCAAAACTTTGGTGAATTGTTGTGCGTTTTTGACAAAATAGAGGCATTGCAACGCGTACCGGGAAAAAGCAATTTAAATTTACTATATGAAAACTATACAAATTAATCATACAATATAATTTCGTTTAATTAAAATGATGTAAATGAACAAGTTTCTATAGGAAAACAGGCTCACTGAATGAAAGGAACTGGAAGCAATGAATTTTTAAGATTACCTTTATTAATCTGTGGCATGGATTCGGGGTAAACTTTAGGCGTTTCACCTGTTAGTTCCCACTCTAGTGTTTGCAGTATTCGGAACATGTCCATTGTGAGTTCAGAGTACTTCACTTGTTGTGAGATACTGCCAACTATGATAGCTTCTTGTAGGGATATAGATGTTTGTGTTAGCCTTTCTGGAGGCGGAACGCACATTTTATTTAATCTGTGAACAAAAATCAATATTTGTAGTTGTACCACGGAGTTGGATTACCTGAATGATTCAAAGTAAAGAAATGTTAGATTTATAAACTCTTCAAATAAACATAATTTCAAATATATAATTAATGATATACCGTTATTACAGTTTTTGAATATACTAGTAAATAAGTCTTCCACTTTTATTTGAAAGTATCCCAAACTTAATGTGATTTGTATACAGCAACGTTTTTGTCTACCGATCGATTAAAATAATGCATTACCATGAATTTTGAATTTTAAAGATGAAAACGACAGAATGTTTGAGATTTTTTTGAATTAACACAATATATAAGCATGCGAATTACCCTCTGAGCTTAAAGGAAACTAGTTATCTCAATATCACAGACAGATATTTAAATTTTATATACCTATATGTATATATATAGATAACATCTTCCTTAATGTAAGGTTGGGGAAAAAGTTTCGTCTTGTTAATTATAATATATATGTGCCATTATGCTCGCCAACTTATTGTAATCTTGTAGTTAGTGACATAATCCCATTGCTGTAGAAATCTTAGCATTTTTGATCAAAAAATGCGACACGTAGTATTGACAGTCCTCTCTTGATGTTAACCTAACACTACCCAAATAATTCTGAAGAGACCGAAAATCTAAGGATGAATGATCAGGACTACATGGTGGATGCATTAACGCTTCCCAACCCAGCTCCCTCTATTTTTGCTAATATATATCAATATTGGAGTTTTATATACATATAAGTTTATTTATCGATATGTCGAAAATCCTATATTTTAAAAATACGAGGGGTGATCCAAAAGTAATGATAATCGGTTACTTCAGGTCCGCATAAAAATCCAAAAAAAAAAATCATATAAATAGATCACGATTTCCGGGAGATACATTCATTTGAATACGAACTGTCAAAGACATAACATCAACATGGAGAAAAATGAAATTAGAGCTGTCATCAAGTAACTTTGAAAAAAATTTCTTCAAAAGACATACACAGTGACTTAGTGGAAACATTGGGGGACTCTGCTCCTCCATAGTCTACAGTTGCACGCTGGGTCAAGGAGTTTAATCTGGGCAGAACATCCACTGAAGATGAACTCGCGAAGGACGCCCATCCACGTCCCTTACTGAAGGCAACGTGAAAAAAGTCGAAGATGTTGTGTTGGCAGATCGAAGAGTGACCATCAGGCATGTAGCTGAGGTCACAGGGATCTCATATGGCAGCGTTCAAAGAATCCTTGCGAACGAGTTGCATATGAAAAAGTTCTCTGCGCGTTGGGTACCCAGAATGTTAACCAACGAGCAAAAGAAAAATCGAGTTGACATTTCGAGGCTCAATCTCGAAAAGTTCCAAGCAGATCAAGAAATTTTTTTGTTTTGTTTTGTGACTATGGACGAGACCTGGATCCATCATTTTGATCCTGAAACGAAACAACAATCGATGACTTGGAAGCGAGCCTCCTCACCGACGCCAAAGAAATTCAAAGTTTCAAGTTCCGCGGGAAAGGTTATGGCATCTGTTTTTTGGGACGCTCAAGGCATAATTATGGTGGAATATTTGAAAAAGGGAGCCACTATTACGGGATGATGTGGATATTTATACACCGCCACAACACGGTAATTAATAACTTCTCAAAACATTTTATTTATTGACAACATCTTGCAATCGTCGTCTCTAGCGCTCAATTGACCTTCATACAAATAATTCGATATTTTAATTGTTAATAATTTATTCATTTTTGGATAAGAACATGTTAATGACTCTAAGTTATATTTACCTTCAATTAAAAAAATTGTCATTGGCCTAACTTAATATATTCTTTGGCTTGACCATAGGTCTGACTAAGTTGGTGGGGCCTGAGTAATCCGAGTTTCGCTACAGTACGGGGACCCTGACTACCCTTTGACTATGATGATCGTAGGAGTAATATTGATGGTGACGAAAAGTGTCACCAGTGATCAATATTATCAAAAATGGTTCGGTTTCATTACATTTCAATAGAGAATCGCAAATGAGTACATGATTCATTAGATTTCTGTCAGTGAGCTCGTGTGGTACCCAAATCGAGCTCTTTTGTATAGCCAGACTTTTTCAAATGGGTTCAAGATATTTTGTGGTAAGTCCTCAATTCCTCGGCTATGACGTAACTCCAAATATACCGATCTTGCTCCACTTTTTCAAAAATGGCATCAACTTCATCCGTTTGAGGGCGACCAGAGGGAGTTGCATCTTTAACATCAAAATTCCCGGACTGAAAACGCTTAAATCAAATCTTTGTACTACTCTTACTGACACTGTATTAGGTCCATAAACGTCATATTTTTTTTTCGCGGCTTATCTCGCATTTTTCCTTTTTTATAATAAAACTTCAGAATGTATCGAAATTATTAACGAATAAATTTCATTCACTCACTAATTCACTCATTTTGGCAGACAGAAAAACAATTGAAAAATGGCGGGGAAAGTGTTTTTTTTTATAATTTTCCTTTTTCTTATTATCCTATAAGTATATTGATATTAAAACCAGCCAGGTAAAAACAGTATAAGCAAAGAAAAATACGAAGAAACCTTTTCCCCGATTTTTAATAGCATTATCTTATAAAATTATACAAAGAATTAAAATAAAAGTCTTATAGTTTAAAAATAATACCTGTGGGATAGTACAACGGTATAGTTTTCAGGATGAATAACAGATACCACAGATTCAGCGATGATAAAAGCTTTAACTTCATCCAATACATCTGTCCATTCTTTTTGATCTTCTGGGTCATATGTCTTACCATACTCAATGACCTGTTTTTCCAGTTCTTTACTCAGATCTCGTACCACATTCAGTTTTTTGAGTAGGAGGCAGACCACAATGAAGCGCGCGTAGTAGCGCAATTTTTTTATCATTAGATCGCACTTATCTTCTTTGCAGGCCTGTGTGTAGTAGCTGCGGGCACGTATTGCGGAGTAAAAGGAAAATGCTTCATTGAGGTATCCAGTATCGCTTGAGCGTAGGCTGGTTTAAAGCAAATAAAAATTATTCATGATTATTGAACGAAAAAAGTCACAAATATACAAATAGAGTAGAAAATAAAAGTACATTCAAAGTAGTGAGTGTAGTACTCTAAACCTCCAGATATTCGGTAAGCAGAGTAGAGAAGATCTATTTTTGCACTATCCTTTTTTAACTGCTTACTTTTTAGTTTTAACGATTTGTAAAGTAATTTCATTATTGAAAAATATTCCTTTAATTTAAATAATTTCGACAGTAATTTCTAATAATATACTATTAAAATTCAACATAATAAAAAATCTTCAGTTATCATCATCCAGTTGAAATTTAGACGAGACTGCTGTGTTGTTAAAATTTTGTTGAATCATTAAACTAACGTAGAAGTTATGTCGTTACATATATGAAAAAGAATGCAGAGAGTAATAAGCCTCAATTTTTATGAAATCAACTAAAATAGGAATAGTTAGAACACCTATCAAGTCATAAAATTTTGATGAATTCTCATTTTTTGAATTAATCTAAATATACTAAGATAATTTTCCTTTCACCCTGCGGAAATCTATAATATGAAGGATGATAAAATTAATCGCAGATCTAATCTAATATTAGCGCCGCTATGCTCACACAAAATATGCATATACATACTAAAAGTGATAGTAGAGTTGTCCGATTTTCGATGCTATTTCTCCAATTTGCCAACGTTGCAATCCGTATTTGCTGTTCAGAATGCCTCGATGCTGTTGTTGGAATTTCCACAGTTTTGTGTAAACGTCGAACGTTTGTCCAAAATATGAATGCCATTGTTTAAGGCCATATTGCGGTAGCTCCCTGCATGATAATAAAACAATTCAAGTAAATATAAAATATCTAAAGTAATAGAAAATTGCAACTTTTGAAATTGCGTAAAAACAAACCATTTTTTCACAGTGTAGTGGCGACGTAAGAGAAAAATCATCTATTATATACATTTCGTGGGTGTATTAAAAGGCAACTGAGGATAACGAAACAGGCATGGATATCAGGGAAATCCAGATAATAACTCAAAATCAAAACAAAAAACTGTGGTTGCTAAACCTCTATTCAAGCCTGGTAATTAAGGAAAATTACTGTTCGAGGCAATCTATGGGGGACATCTTTGTTCACCAGTGAAATTTGGATAGGCCACTGCGGTTAATAAAAAAAAAAACTATTTGTAGTATGGATTTCCCCAGAAATTAGCGATTGTTAATTCTATTTTCAAATTAATTAATGTTAAGCCTTTTTTAAGAGGAGGAATAGTGAATGAAAACTTGTTTACTAACAGTCTTCGATGAATGTATTGAATATCAAACAGGGATTATTCTAGACTTTCAGAACACTGCGTTAGTTTTAGCAAACAAACTTTATTTTCCCTGAGGAAATATTACTAAATTGCTTTACTGCATTAAAATAGCAAATTACACTGATGAAAATGAAAGTTTTATTAAGAGGAGTTTTGCATTGTGGATTATGTTACTAAAAAATATTTTGCTTTGTTCTAATAATTAATTAGATTCCAATTAACTTTTTATACTCCTCATATAAAATATAGTGAATATAAATATAATTAGATGTGGTATTTTATGACTCTGTTTTTACTGATAACGAGGCATATCATCTTCATCTTGTTCAATACCTCAGTGAAAGGGTATTAAGCTGGGTAGTGACGCAACAAAAACAACGGAATTTCAAAATAATTAAAAAATCAAACCCGATAAATCCACGAAAATATAAGAAACGACAGTTGTTAAATAGTTAAAGTATGTCTTCATATATATTAGTATAGGAATAGATCTTGAAATAAACGTCATTCTCACTTAATTTGCTTATTTTTAATATATAGTATGTTAAATAGAATAAAAGCGCTTGATAAATAATACTCGTAGTAATAATGATGTTCTACGTCTTACGCAAAGAGAATTTAATCACTACGTTTAATCTTATGTTTTTACCTCCGTTCTGTCTGTCTAGAGAATAGAGTTAAAATGGAAGGCCTGTTTTATACCTAAAACTAAATTAATCATGTTTTATTTATCTATAACGATCTATGCGTAATTCTCTCTCTTTGCTTGCTCGTACACACATCCATTGTCTCATACTCCGTTCCTACATTAACAACACTAACCTTAAGCTGTTAAAATGCTGCCTTGACTTCTCCAGCAGTTGACAAAACTCAGTTACGATTTTCCTTTCGTATTCTTCGAACGAGTTCATTCTTGATCGTAGTCTGTGTTGAAATTGATTGTACTGATCTAGACGACTGTGGTAATCGGGATATTCTGAAATATTGTTAGGCTCAGATGTATAAAGCCGTCCATGTGTCTCTTCATACTCATAGTAGTTGTCATAGATGTTAGTCCTCGAAGAATATATCCGAAACCTGTCTTCACTGTTCGGAGACAAATCTTGCCATTTACAAGTTTTTCTTAAAGGCAAGAATTTAAAAGAATGACGACGACTATCTTCGTCGAGGTCGTGTGGGGCTGGCGATGGGGGTGATGTTCTTCGGTATGCCTCACTCTCGAATGCTTTGCTTCCTGCATAAGTTTTACTAAACCTACAGCCAGAGACAATTGGGATTGCCCGTGCTAATTGATATATAATTGAGTTTTTTTGTTGTCCAGCATCTCCAGTTTTAGAAGTCCGATACCATGATTTTTTTACTTGTTTTCCAGGTGATGATGAGTTTTGGGCTACGGGAGAAAAGTGAGTGTTTAATTATGTTACTAAACATATAAATATCTATTTATACTATTATATTGATATAAATACCAAATATATATAAGTAACTCCTTGATAAAGAAAATGAAATTATTGTTAACCCTTTATTAACTATCCTACTTTGACAGCTAAATACTTTTTATCTTCCCTACTTTATGCAAAAACAGCAATATAATTACATTTGAGAAAAAAAATTATTTACAATTTTTTTGAATATTTCACTATTTGTTCCTTTAAAAAAATATAACAAAATATAAAACATTAATAAACTTTTATCAAGTGATCTTGTTAAGTATAAGCAGGACTCCAAAAAGTAAAAAAGTTATAGGTCAGTTATTTAAACCTTTACGTCGACTTATGTAAAAACAGAGATTGGAAAAAATTGTTAATTAATAATGGTATAAATTGTTAAAAATTGACATAATAATTTTTTTCCAACGGGGCTTTATTTATCCAAATAATTTGATGACATCATAATATTTTCAAATTTATAAATTAATATTTCATACTAAAAATTTATTTTATATAATATACTGCCTTCAGCGGCGATTCTATTTTCGGCTTTAAATAAAAATTATAAATGATGGAGATCGAATTCCGAAAGTTGTGTTTTCTATTGAAAATTTTCTCCTTCTTTCGTCTTATTATGTCATTAACAATTGCATTTTTATGCGCTAATTAATCCTCGAGATACATTTAATTTCTAGACTTCCGACATTTATAGATTCCGAATCGAATGAGCTTTCGCACATTGAGTTATAAAACACTAGAGGAGCAAACCACATTACCGCGCGTCGAAAAAAGTGTAACCACTATCCAAACGCGACGACGCAGCTTTGAAACTAATAACAATTTTAAATAAACATATATCTATCTCACTTACACAAGTTGCGAAAACAATATCGTCGCTAAGATTAGATAAAGATAGACACACAAACATGCAATGGCGGGTTGGTGTGGCTTACTATATGAAATTTTACCTAAAATACGCAATAAAAATGAGTTTTTTAAGCTGCAGTTAATTGTTTTTATATTAAAAAAAGTATATTTTATTTTAAAATCTTTATTGCATCCCCTTACAAAAAAAGGATACAAAGCTCATCAGATGAATAGAAGTAAATAAAAATGATGAAATAAAACGTATTTTTATTGTACTAATAAATCAAACAATATAAAATAGGTAATAAAATATAATTAATATAAAATTTATATGAAATTATAATTAATATAAAATTATTAACATAAAATAGGTAATAAAATATATTTAATAGATAATTCATGAATAAACTAAAATAAGAATAATTAATTATTTTGTATGAAAGTTAAAACGTAGTTTTTATTATAATTTGAAAAATATTTAAAATCAGAGGTAACAAATTAACTTACTCCATTAATTATATAGTCTCCAATTAATGTAGGATAATCACAAATGCGTAAAAGTGGCAACATTGAACTTAAATGGCAATATTCGATAATTTTATTTAATTATTTGAGGTTTTTTACGTTTATATGAAAACAAAAACTAAAAATTATGCGTTGAAAGTGATTCCGCTTGATATATTACGTTTTTGTGACCTTGAATAGCATTTTTTCACTACGCATTTACCCATTTTTTGTCGCGGCTCAACTCTGTCGGCGTCACATTGAACACTGAACTGACGTTAGCTGTACATATGGCTGTGGCCATATGTGCAGTGGCAACGCTTTGGCGCGGTTTTTACTGATCTAGTGTAATATATAAATCAATGCTTTCGCACATATTTTTGGAAGGGGGAACAAGAATTAACACGTTTTTAAATTTTTGACTATAGGTGCAGAAAGAATGAGAATGTCAGACCAGGGAAAGACTAGGCTCTCAAAGAATACCAGGGTAAAATAGCAGCTTAATGCTGCTGTGTTTCGTATGGTAACGTGGCATTCCATCTTAGTCCTCAGGAGTGACAATGCATCTGAATTTTGATTCTTAAGCGAGGATAAATGTAGATGTCAATGGGTCTCAGCAACCACTTACTATCAGGCGGGCTGTGTGCTTTTTTGTATCCCTTATTCTATAAAAAAGCTTGTCCTCATATATCGCGAGGAGAGAAATATTGAAATTACAGAGATGAGTGCAGCCTAGGGATTAGAAGAACAAAACCATGACTTCCACACGTGGCTCCTGGTTGTAAATTATATATTTCATGACAGATAATAGGCACTGACAGAATATTTCATCCCAAGGATATGGTATGTGGAAGGTCAAGGTCTATAGGTAATGAGGACTATGCTCGGATACTTAGAAATGAGGATATCTAAATTAAAAACAGAGTAACCGATATAGCCCAACGGATTATTAAGCTGAAGTGACAATAGGTTGGCCATATAACTCGAGATACCGACACCTGATGGGGAAAAAAAGGTTCTCGAGTGGCAACCTCTTACAGGTAAGCGAAGATCACCCCCATTATATTGAGTGACGAACTAGTAAGACATGCAGGAAGCCGATGGATGCAGGTGGCTCGGACTTGCTTTTTTTGGAATTCGTTGGAGGAGGCCTATGTTCAGCAGTGGACTTGTGAAGGGCTTTAATAAATTAATGAATGAATAACCTCACGAATTATAATGCACATCTGAACATAAAAACTATTACTACCGTGTAGAATACCCGCACTAACCCTTAATATGACAGTATAATACTGATATAAGGTCCGTATCACAGAAATCGTAAAAATAAGACAATAGAAGACGCGTGAACTTGTCGCCGCTATTATGTGTTGACGAACATGATTCACCATTTTGTAATTTAGTTGCGCGGGGAACGTCGTACGTGAATTTATGTTATTCTAATGGTGAACTGCAGCATAATAGTAAAAAAAGTAGTAAAAACTCATCGAGGCATAAAATTTCATCGGTAAGTTAATTATTTACTAATTATCATTGTTTTAACTAATTTACATCTAGATGAATATTTTACTATGATATTTACCTTTGTAAACTTTCATTTATTACTTTAGTATTGACAATTATTATTGCTGCTTTTGTTCTACCGTAATACTCGACGCACGCGACGCTGTCAAACTCGCCAAGCAATGTAATGTGAAACATTAGATATCATTGTGCATTGTGTATGTTTATGATACGGCTGCAGGTGGCGACATAGGTTTTAGAAGTAATCAAGCGCTAATACATTTCTATTGTCTTTATTTATATACTTGGTGTAAATATTTTATTATATGTTTGTTATATATTTTGTTGTAATTAATAAACATATAAAATCGGTATCTCAGTTACCAAGATCAGCTTCTCAAGACGCTGTACTTGGGATAGTGTTCTGTGACTTGAGGGCTTGATTTCGTGAATGATTACGTAACATTGACAAAAGTTTAGAATATCATTAATCACATTTCACGTCATAAATATTTTCTACTTAAGAACGCCGTAAATTGTTCAAACTGTTGTGTATGTATAAATACAAATGTTTACCATTTAACTCAATTGTAATAACACTTTTTTTCATCGTAATAATTTATTTCACTCAAAACACTTTCAAACTCAATGATTAGCGTTACTACAATCAGGATCTGAAGTCACGGACCACCTGCACACTGCACTCTCAAGTACGCAACTATTGTGTACTTGGTAGTCAAGTTTTGTGAACTAAATAGTCTGTCACTCAGTTGATAACGCAAACCTAAGCCGCAACTTGAGGTTTTGTTAATTTTTAATTGACTTGTACACCGTTATCACTACCGTAATATCCTATCAAAAGTGCACTATTGAACGCAGGGAAGCCTGCGCAACGCATAGTTGCCCCAGAGGGGGAAAATCAATTTAAGCAGAAACATAATGAACTCCCTCACTCCCGTCGCAATTTCAATTTTAATTAATGCATCGATAGTTTCGCGCTTTCGTAATGTGATATTTGATGAGCACATTCGAGTTATTAGAATATGTACGTCTGAAAACGTTTGTGAATGCCAGCTGTTTGATTAGTGATATTAAAATATTTTTATTTCAATTTCATCAAATGTTATAAAAACAATCTTTTCTGTTTTATTCGGATTAGTAAGCTGAAGTGACAACCGATGGGGAGAAAGGGTTCACGAGTGGTAGCCTCGTACCGGTAGGTGTAGTGTAGGGCGACCCTCCAGTAGATGGTGTGACGACCTGGTAAGACATGCAGGAAATCGATGGATGCAGGTGGCTCAGGGCCGTGCTTTGTGGCATTCCTTGGGGGAGGCCTATGTTCAGCAGTGGACTTGTGAAGGGCTGTAATGATGATGATGATGATATTTTTAATGAGTTAAAACTATCTGAATTAAGGATTTTTTAAACATTTAAAAATTCATAACGTCGCAAATATTAACGTTATCGTAAAAAGTTATAGGACCTTTTTTTGCTTATCAATGTCGTAACCAACGACTGTCATTATTAAGGCGTATTAAAAAAATTGGAATTTACTATTTACAACTAAATTAGGCAAATAGTCCCAATAACTAATATTGGTACCTCAA